ATCTAATTGGCACTGACTGATAAAATTAGAACCAAATGACCATAATTGGATATCCAATTGTAATCGGATCAAATCCAATTGAAAATTCCAACATCCAATTTGGATCGTCGGTTCTCGGATGACTGTCCAGAACCGTCCAAAACCGATCAACACCCAATTACCCGTCCAATTAATCATCCAATAACCGTCCAGTTGTCTATCCACTCATTATCCAACTATAATCCAATTAATTTATTTTCAAATTTCTTAAATCGAAATTTGTTTTATGTGAGGCTTTGAAACTTTAATTTCCCTTGTGTTGGTTTTAACACATATTAAAAGTGATTAATCAACTTGTATCATTGTTGGAGAAATTGAATCGAATTAACACACTGACACTGGATGGATCCAATCCCAACGGATCATCCATTGGATATTCAATAGATGAAATGGAACCGATGCAATCATCCATTTGATTGGACTTGATCGGTTGACAAAATCCAACATCCAATGGATAATTTGATCAGTTCGGTTCCCCTCACATCCAATGGATGTCAACCGATGAACATTAATATATATAATTATTTACAGAAACACCTTTAGTTATAATATCTATTTCTTTTTAACAAAATAAAAAAAATGCATTAATCATAAGTTTCATAAACTCATATTATTGGTTTTAATGAAGAAGGTGGTGTTGTTTTCCATGTGTAAGTAATATGATGTAAAGTCACATTACACAACTTTATCCAACATTACATGTTACCTGCTTTGTCCTTCTTACCCAAATCATCATGTTTTGGAATGCACAACCACATTTTCAACACATCACCTTAGTCAATCCCCCCTTTCCATTATTTGTACTTCTAAACCTAGCTATCACATTTTCTTTGTTTCATTTATTGCAATGTTATATGCATCTTTTTTTTTTATGCCATAAACAAATCAATCATCATTAACAACATGAAAGACAAATAAAGATAAATTGTATGAAAAAATAACGTACTTAAACTTTATTCTTATTTTATGTAACGTACTTTTAGAACTTCTATTTTAGCACATAAGATGTAAAATTTTAAATATTTAAGTATCCGGGTAACTGTTTGAAGACTAATTTTAGTTTAAAAAAATTTGTGTCATTAACCATGTCAGCAAATAATACTGAGTTGGATACCACATGACTTGCACATCAGCATGATAACCGGTTAATATTTCAACCGGTTATCTGGGGTATGTTTAAAATTTTACATCTTATGTATCAAAATTGAAGTTTTGAAAATACGTTACTCAAAATAGGAATTAAGTTAAATTACGTTATTTTTTCATTCAATTTTGTCTAATAAATGTTAATATTGATATGTATGAGAAAGAAATTAATAGGTAAGGTTGCATTTAACAATATATAATGGGTGCTAACATACCCATTTTCTAGTTGCTTTTGGTATTAGATATCGGACGGGTAAAATACCTTCTTATATACTGACAAATGCATTTATACCAGCTAATTTCCTACTCATTTTTTATATTCTCACTGCATGATTGAACTTGATTTTGACTTAAATGAGTGTACATATAGTAATGCCCAAAGATATATTTGGATGATAAAACGTAAAAACAAATTGTGTAGCATTTTACTTTTTTACAGTCATGGTCTAGACTATAATAAAAGAGTTATGCAGGTAGATATAATATTTAAACAATTTAAAGAAAATCCAACACAGATCAATAACAAGTTAACAATTGGAATACCAAAACTAAAATAAAGCTGACTTGACATCATATTGTAAATAAACTCTAGCGAAAGGGTTATATATGTGCCTTTGCGTTGTTGCTCAGTGTTATAACGGTTGATGGAAAATACAACTATTTGTTTTACGCAGATGAAAATATGGTTCCAAACTGAAGTTATTTCGTTTTAAAATGTGATATGCAAATATCAAATACATATATCTGTGTCAAAATTGAACTGAATAAAAAATATGATTCGATATGTTACTATTTTAGGAAAAAAAATACAAGATATTGCCATTGTGAAATATTTGGGAGGCATRGCCTCTCTCTTTGATTATTTCCTCTCACATTTGTTATTTCAAATGCACATACCAACACCTTCATCTCTTAATTAATAACATAACTAGTCCTTCTTCTTTGACTTTAACAGTATTTTGGGTGTTACAAAAACTGATAACTTTGGACATATATTACAAGATTTCGGTTTTGAGTAACATTTATGAGTCATATATAGGTAACTGTTTGTGAATCTCGGATGRATTTTGGTGGATTTTGATTTTTTATAGATGAAAGAAAACAGATTATTCTCCATATTCAGAGAAATTTTCAACATCTTATTTTGAATCAGAGAATTTTTATTCATTTGTTATTTATTTCTTTTGGATAAAAGAAATCCCATTAATTTACAAAACTTATTTTACAAATTTAAGGTTTATAAAAAGTTGTTGGTATTTAAAGTATTAAATATTTTAATAATATAATTAATGTTAACCATAAARATGGTGTCYGATTAGTTTGAGCTTGAGCTTMAAATGTTAAAAATGTCTGGAGGTCTCAGGTTCKAATTCAATAAAGAATAAGAAAAACCCTTGTGGCCAYGGACATTCAAACGCAGTGACYCCGGGCTAACCGCAAGKCAGGTGGTCGTCCTGAGATTAATCGRTTCGCATAACAGGTTGGTTATCCTGGTAAAACAAAAAAAAATGTTATGACCCAAATGGAAAATGGTTCAACATAATATAGTACTGTTTTTTCGTTATTTTGACTTTTGATAATATGTTTTGGATAAGATATAAGAAAATTGTCAGAGATGCTGGATCCAATTCAAGATTCCGTTTGAGATATCGATTACGAGACTGAATGGGTTTCTTTGTTAATTAGACGATAACTTATACATTTAAGTGATATAAATTTTGACATCTAATCGAGTAATATTYTAGTGTCAATTTATTGGTTATTGGAAAAATTTATCGTTCTAGGCTCGAAAAGTTTTACCAATGGCCATGAAATGTACTAAAATATTGTCTACTGATACCTTTTCATCATGATTCTTTAGTTTACTAGTAATTATTTAACGGAGTTTTATGAACTTAAGCACGAGACAATGCATAACTTGATGCATTTGCTTCTTTATCATTCAACAATACCGTTTTATATTTTTAAGATCACTTTCACAACCTTATTTACTTTTCCGTTTATTCCGACCACGGATGAACGGTTACTACAAGGTTGAAAAAGACTTTATGTGATCCCTATCAACGTAATGAATGAAACCTTGTTTTCAAGAATAATCCGACGTTTCACACAGTGTCTAAACTCTTGTCGTGTCAACTATTTGATTTTTCATACGAGAGGACATCCACATGAAAAGAATGTTCGGTTTGCTTTTCATCAATTCAAAAAAGAGGGACTTTCTTTTTCAAGCTCACATGTTTTTCATGGATCTGTACTAATTTTTCGTTCAACTACTATGAAATAGTTTCATTGAAAATAATAATTAAGGGTTTGAAAAATGTATGTTTTCCAACGAAATCATTATCCACACATTTTAAATAATTAATGTTTGGGAAAAATCAATCATCGTGCGAAAATAATCTGAAAGACCCAACTTATTATAGTCTATTGAGAGCGTTTAAAAGACGGGAATTTACAAACGAAATATTATAAATTAAAATAAATTACAAGTTTGGTTGGTATGGTTTACAAGATTTAAAGTCATACGTCTCTGAAATGAAATAATCATGGAAAAGAATAATGTATTTAGCATTTTTTTTTTTAACGTTCTGTGTCTCTACTGTCAACCCTATGTTGTTAATTTAGTTAACTCAAGGGTATTTTGGTAATTTCATTAGTTTCCTAACTTTCTTATTAGAAAGTTTAGGGAGCATTAAACATATCCATTCAAAACACGTCATGTGTCCCTCCCTCGTCTTTCAATTCTCATCCTCCATTTCTCCGTCCTTCAATGATACGGTCTCATATCGCCACCGCATCTCAATACTGCTTTGGTGAATGTCGCTAAGACCCACAATCTCCATCTTCAACCCCCAGACCCCACCCATCATTCCATCTCCATACACTTGCACATTCTAAAACAATGACACCTTCTAAAATGGTGACACATTCTAAAACAATACGATTACACCTTTGACAAACATAATTTTTTTTTAACTTGCGACATAGGGACAATATGGTGGCATGTGCCACCGTAGCCAGCACATTGGGTCCGTCGCTTACCGCTATTCACATTTAGGGATCATTCACCAAATGAYGGTAAGCGCTAATCGACAACATCCACCATTCTTACTTACTTCACTGGCAACAACTTTCATTGATTGATGGTAAGTGTTTATCACCTTGTAAGAGTTATCAATCACTCTTACTTATCGGGTAAGACTCACGATCCATGTCTTCTTTTTTGGCAAGTAAGATTATCGGCAATCATTATGTTCATCCAGTAAGGTAATTGAATTGATAAACGACCCATAAGTTATAGATCTTTGACCATTAGAACAAATCTGAAGTAATTTATTATGATCCAAATACTATCCTGAGTGGTATTCACCTATTGAGAGCTTCTATCTACACTTATATTTCAACTATTTAACCATCAGATAAATGTAAAGCAAGGTCCACTGATCAAATACTGTCACTCTCATGTCCAACATACTTAATTCTAATGTTTAAAATATCACACATCAGATTCTAAAATAAAAATCAGATCAAAATATTTTATATTTTCATTTTAATATATTTGGTATAATATAATTTAATATATTTGAGTTTAAAATTAACATCAATTATAAACAGTGATATTAAAAGACAAATGGACAAATACAGCAATAATTAATTAATTTAAATAAAATATATAAATTTTGAGGCCAGTGGACCGCCTTCTATTTTATGCTTTGAGATCCCAATTCCCAACAGCGACCGTTATACAAAAGGCCCCATTTGCGGACTACTACACATTTTTTAAATCCAATAATATTTATTAATTAATTTAAAAACTCAAACACTAAAAAAAAGAGCGCCAAAATTAAACTAAACCGGTTTCTGTCTGCCCACTTATTTTAAAAAACCAATTTCCTTCGAGGCGCCAAAAACCTACTTTTCCCGGCAAAGTCAGCGAGATCCAGGATTGTTTCGCTCACCAAATCCTTGAAGATCAGCCGTTCGATGTACAGTACGGCTTCCGACATCTCCACCGGATGATCTCCCCAGCCATTGTTTCCGGCGAGGTCTCTTTTCAGTACACCACAAATCAGATCTAACAAGTTGTCCGCTGGTTCTCGCTCACGGATCTTTTGGAATTCGGAACAGATGTGATTTACCGAGTTTGTGCATTCGTTGAACGAAATGGCATTCCATGGAGGTAGCTGGCGGTTCCGATCGACGATTTCAGCAACGATGTCGAAAACTAGCTTTCGTTGAAGTTTCGAGACTTTTGATGTGTCGTTTCCGTTGAGATATTGTTGCTTTTCGAGTCGGAGAAACACGCCGGAGTCATCTGGAAGGTATTTTGATGCTCGGATTATGTCGGAGATGTAAGTGAGATCAGAATCGTCGGATATGAAATCTTCGTCTTTGGCTGATAGTACCGGAGAGATCACAGAACTCCAGATGTCGTCTTCCAAATCAACGGTAAGATCTGTCGAGTTATGAGCAAATTCATAAGCAAAGTCAGTTAATGATAAAAAACAACAAATCATAATCGGCGTTATCGATAGAAGAAAAAAAGTACACCATTACTTATTAATAAAACTGATATCAGTCTCTGTCAAAATATTAAACACTGACATTGATAACAGTTACTACGTTGATGATGCCCATTCAATGAAATTTTTGACTTCACGACGCCGTCGTCGTCAGATTGCCGACGACAGCCACCGGTGAAGTTGTTCTGGGCACGTGACAGAAGCGAACGGCACATGTTCAAATTTGTACGTATTACCCTGCTAAGACAGGCCTACGGTGAGTATCCTCAACCAATTTTTCCAAATTCTTTAGAATCAAAACTTAAGCCTCTATAAAAATTATATCCAACTCTGAATAAATTGTTCATGCTAAATATTATAATATTAATTATATCAATAAAATATCATATTCATGTAATAAAATGTTAATTCTCACTCATCAACAAAAATTTTTGGAGTAAAATTTCATCCAAAATCTCTGTTTTTATTTTATTTTAGATGATTTGTTGGATTTTGTTGATGTTGATGTTGTTATAAAGAAAATAATAATAAGAAGAGTTATATTTTAATATAATCGAATCAAATTACGCCACGTTGCAGGTTGAAACTATCGGAGTGGGGAAAGTATCGTTGGGACACGAGTCCACATGAAAACGTCATGTGACCGCAATCAAGATTTGTTTTCTGAGCATTTGTGTGCGTACCTTTGAAATCAATGCTACGTTTCATGACGGGTGAGGGAGATGACGATTCATCCTTGTCGAATACCGAGTCAAGAACGGATACTGGACTAGGTAAAACTGAGGTAGAACTCATATGTGACTCGGTGATATTGTTCATCTCAGCTATACTGTTCAACAATTTGTCACATCTGTCTAACAGACTTTTTCCTTCTCTGTATTCCTCCATTTTCGATCTCTATTATACAGTAACAGTTAAATCGTATAAACAAGAAGTAAATCAATAATCTGATGAAAATCGAAATGTATGGTATACCTCTGGATCGGATTGAGAATTTGTACTACCGGAGCTTTCAGAAAAGTATGATGATTCGTCCTCCATAACCAAGTTTCGTGAAACCTTCTCCTTTGAATAAACATCTGCCGGTCTCCTGCTTCTCGGAGACCGATTTGGGATGTATTGATGATCGGATCCGCTTCTTCTTGGAGTAAGCTTCGGAGAATTAATTGGCGAACTTCTTCGTGAGTCAGAGGATTCATGGAAACTCCTTTGTGTTTCGATGCACAATGGCTTTCTCTTGACGATTGTATTACAATTCTTGGAGTTATTAGTGGCCATAGAATTCCTTGCTCTCACGGGACTCCTCCCACTCCGATCGAGTACTCCACGCTCCTTCTTTGGACTGACCGACGGCAAATTTTCGCCGGCGTATCTATTCACTCCTCCGTAATCATTCCGGCATCTCCGATTTGGCGCCGGCGACCGTACAGGCTTCATTAGGACTATATTTGGATCATCGGAAGGAAAACTTGGATCGTAAACGAAGTTATGCTGGCTGTCTATGTTTGGAGGTCTTCTGGAATGCAAAAGGCCTTTGAGTTGTAACGCTTCAAGAATATGCTTCAGTGTCTCTAGATCTTTTGACTGTTCATCTATTTCTCTGAACTTCAAATTCTTCTCGGAATCGCTATATGTTGGCACTGTTATCTGCTTTGGCTCTGGGAAAATATCCGCTGAATCAAAGAAGCTTCTCCTCTGCTGTGGAGACCTCCATGGAGATGATCTCGGAGATTCAGTCTTCAGATTTCTTGATGTATATTTCATTGACTCGATAACTCTGCCATTCTGAGAAGTTCTGTTGCTCAGGTTGCCTACATTATCTCGAACACCGTTGTTGGTCAGATTTGTTTCTGCTGATTGATTGGTTGTTTGATTCGTCTGTTTCACATGGAAATTGGCACCGTCTACGAATCTGGAATGAAACAGATCTCTTGAGACTCTGGATTCCGATGCCGATCGCCGGAGCTCCGGTTTCTTGACGGTTTCAGGACTCGGTGAAGAATCTGAAGATGGCAACTGCTCCAGTCCCATGAGTCTCGCAATGACGCTGGGTGACCTTCGTTGCTTGTCGAAGCTTTCATCAACGGAGTTTGCTCCATTGTCTCGACGGATCTCTCTTGGGCAAAGGCTCCCTTTTGAGTCAACCGTTGCTCTGCTGTCAAGCGACAGCCTCGGCATTTCCTTGCAGAATTTCCATGAAGTCTTCATCGTTCCTTCCTTCAGATCAAATATCGGAAGTGGTAACGGCGATTTCGGCGGCGTTACGGTTGGGAAGTTATTCGAATTGGCCGCCGGAGAAGATTGGAAACGGTCAGGACTTTCGGGTATAGCCACCACCGGTTCCGCCATCGCCGCCGGCTTCACTATTTCTCGTTTGGGCGTCGTCTGAACGGACTTAACAGATTCCGGTGATGAAGTCACCCCCTGAAATCAAGTGTAAATCTTCATTTATAGTTCTTTACAATGCCGTTTCTCTTCTTTCTTTTTCACAGAAATGCTATATACAAAGAGATTATGGTGAAGAAGAGCTTACGGTGGAGGGAGGAAGACGCTTGGTGGCGTAGATTCGTTTTCCGGCGAGAATCTGTTGACGATCGAAGATATGTAGGAAACCAGACATGCAGCCTATCTGCTTCTCAATCTGTTTTTCAAGATTCTGATCTTGCATCAACCCCGTCATCATTTTCCGACGAGTTTCGAACTCCGGTCAGGTAATTAATCTCTCTCTCTCTCTCTCTCTCTCTGTGTTTCCGCACTCCAAACACACACACGCACAATCTCTCTATTCTTAACTTTACTACTTTACATTGGTTCAGAGAACTTCATCACTTTTTTTTTCTTGCTTCTCTCTCTCTCTCTTTCTCTCTCTCCCACCTAGTGTTTATGGAATTTCATGCTTTATCTGTAACTCCCGCTTTCTGCTCGTTTAAAGGGAGAACAAAGGAAGTGAGGTCAGTGAGGGGAGACGCGGATGTGGGGTAGGATAAATGCTCAGACTTATTTATCATGAATTTCCCATCTCGCTTGCCAATTAATAATTCGTTAGCCTATGAAAGAAAAAAAAATGTTTGAAGTTTAGAATAACTCCTATTGGTCCCAAAATATGAAACACTAACACGAATTGCAAGCTTCAAGGAAAAAAATTTACGAATAAGGAAAAAAATTGTTTCAATTATCATGTTAAACTCTTCAATAACAACACATTAAAATAATAAAAAAATTAAAATAAAAAACATTAACATTTATATTTGAAGGTTAATAAAATAGAACTTTATAAATATATATTAATCTAATACTAAGTTTTTAATTATATATTGATTAAATTTAATATACGAAGTTGATGATTTTTGTTATAATTTTAAAGATAATTTTTAGGGATGTTTGAGATTGTTTGTAAAAACAACTTATTAAATTATTTTTATGTGAAACTAGTAATAAACACTTTTGAGTGTTTGGATAAACAACTTATATCGGTGTCAAATCGGTGATAAGAAGTTTTGATTAAGTTAAACTCTTCTGACTTATAATAAGTGCTTTTGTAGAAAAATATAAAGTTGTTTCAAATAAGCAATCCCAAACACCCTTTTAGTGTTTGTTTGGAGTTAATTTTTTTAGTAGTTGGGTACGAGATACCTTAGACCATATCTCCACCCAAACACTAGAAACACAAAAATTGAGGTGTTTTCGTATTTAACTCAACACCAAAACACTAATAGTTTGTTGTATATAAAATATTTTAATAAGATAGTTAGAGATGTCGAAGTTGATCTAATTTTTAGAGATTTTGAATTTTAATATTCTAATATAGAAAAATTGTAACATTACTTTTTGGCGATGCTCTAATATTTCTAAACTCTCCATGAATAATATCGTAAAGACTACTTTACACAAATACAAAAAAATTCAACCAAAAAACCCATTAAAATCAACTAAAAAACCTAGAAAATTTCTCAAAATTAGCAAAAATAAACTTACAATTCTCTAAAGATAACCAAAAAATTAAAAACTTGAAACGGTACCAATTTGTCAAAAACACATCGGATACTTTTATAGGTCCTTGTTTCACCTTAATGGTGCACACTTTTGACAAAATACTGGTCTGCCGCTTAGCGTATCTATGTGATCTTTATTCTTACATTTTCACTTAGTGCAATATATTAACTCTGTAGGTAAAAAATTCATTAATTATTTACCTCCATTCTTACCTTTTCACTCGAAGCATTTTCTTGAAGTAAGCATTGAAGAAAAAGTAAAAAAATGACATGAAGATAGGAAGAAAAGGAAATGTGAGTTCCAAAGAAAGCAAAAAGGTGATGGAATCGACAAGCATAACGATGGAGTTGATAGAAACAAAACCATAACCTGTCCTCCCCATCACCTGTTTTTCTTTATATGCCTTACAATCTACATATCACCTAAAATCCTATAACTTTATTTACTCTAAAAATAATCATATATAAATTACGATACCCTCACACAGTCTCTTAGAAAAATAATGAGATAATTTTGTCCAAATACATAACAGATTCAAGTTCGAATCCCTTGGAATACAAACTTGAATCTCTCTGCTTGCCTCCGCTGCTGAGTCAACTTATGGAATGCCTCATTGCATGTGGTGCATACGGGGTTAGTTTCGTTTGAGACCGGTTCAAGTTGACAATAATCAACCATTTGCCCAAATACGAATTACGGTTAAAAAAAAAGGTTAAAAGCGAGAGCCAAATAAAGTGGTAACGATTACAGTATTTAACGAGATATTCGAACTCGAATTTAGTAATTCTCGAGCTTGGGTCAATATTGTTTCACCCCCGGTGTTTGGTCGCTTTGAATGCTCATTCAAAATCTCGAGTTCAAGCCTGTAAACATGTTTATAAAACCTAACATTTAGAACATATGTGTAATATAGAATTCTTATATAAACATAAAAAAGGTCAAGTTTATCACTGTTTTGAGAGAAAAAAATTATTCAAACTCAATCTGATATTGTTTTATAAAGTCCAAACAATCTTTCACTTCACTCAACAATAACCAGGGTCAAGAAAGAATTTCTCTTTCAATAAAGAAGATAATAAATTAGAGATCAGAAGTTAAAACTAGAAGTGACTATGTGAAAGAGGAATCAATACTCCCTCCCTTTCTTTAAGTTCATAATTAAGTGTTAGAAAATTACTTTTTTCGCTTTTGTTTGTTAAATATTGTGATTTTTGTCGTTGTGGTTTAAAAATTGTGGATTTCGTTTCTATGTTTGTAATTCATTGTTATTTTTGTCTTTATAAATTAGAACTTATTGTTAGTTTGGTCTTTATGGTTTACAATTAGTTTCTGTTTTGATCTCTTATTATACTTAAAGAAAGGAATTAGTCTATTAACACAAAGAACAATAAATTACAAATCATAAGAACAAAAATTGTAATTTCTAAATTATAGGATGAAAATCAAAATTATTAACCAAAAACAAGAATCGTAATTTACTCATAATTTTTTTTACAGATTGAAGTAAATAAGTATTAGATATTAAATTTGTTAATAAAATAAGATGTTGAAATTATAAATAAATACAATATTTGGTTAGACATGTAGTTTAATAAATTAGTTTGAAGAGTAAGTAATTAAATGTTTAGATTACAATTTTAGAGAGACTTGATCAAGTAACGACACATTACTAATATTTGAAGTTTTTTTTACCAAAATTTGGTTCTTACTTTGAATTTTATATTATTAATTTGTTATTGATTTAAAAAGATGTAAAAAAGTTGATGGTTATAAAATTATATCGAACTTAAAAAGGAAAATCTTCTACAAGGTGCTTAATTGCTTGAGTTACAAATGATTTTGCAGGAAAAAAAGTAATATATTAAAAATTATTTTTTATAATTTCCTTCGTTGGAGATGTCTTACGTACCAATGTGTTTTGAGCTATTCTACATGAAATTTCGTTTTATTTTCTGAATCATTGTGCTAAATCTTATTTTATTAGTTTATAATTATTTTTTTGACTTGTTTATCAATATTGAAAAAATATATATAACATGCAAAAAAAAAATTAGCTTATTGCTGTTACAATAATTAGACAATAAATAGTTTCTCAAAACATCTCCAATAGATTTAGAGTTGTTGGGTTTGTAAATTCTAATTTTTTTTTGATAAAATTGAAATGTTAAATTCAATTGATGAAATTTCATTCTCTTGTTTGATTTATTCTTTTTTTTAAAGAAAATCTTAAAAATACTACATCATTCATAAATAAATGAATTTAACATTATTTAGCAACTACATGATATTTTAATGAAATGAAATTATTTATTTTCATAATATTAAATATTTTCATAATATTAAATATGTTCTTAACATAATATACTCTAATCTCATAAAACCAAATATGACCATCGTCGACCACTTTCGATCACTGTTGCGTCATTTGAACTATCGTCAGCCATCACCATCTGAACCGCCAGCGATTACCACTAATCTGAACCACTATCGACTACCACCGACGATCACTACCGATCCGAACCATCATAGATCACTGCCATCTAAACTATTGTGGACCACCACCGATCTGGACAACCATCCACCACCACTATATGAACCACCATCAACCACCACCGACTTGAACCGTCGCCAATCTGAACCATCATCGACAACCATAGAGTTGAACAACCATCAATCTAAACCAATGCCGATATGAACAACCACCAATCTGAACTACCGTTCATTTGAACCACCACGGACCACCACCATGATGAACCACTGTCAGCCACGCCATTTGAACCACCATGGACCACCACTGATTGGAACCATTTTCGACCACCATTGTCGGCCATCGTTGATCTGAACCACTGCCGACGACCGCCATTTGAGTTATTTATTTATATTGTTTTACACATTAAATAATTATTTTATTAAAGTATTTTTAGTTTAAAAAAATAGAATTTCAAATAAGCGCATTTTGATCATTTACCTACTTTTTGTTCCAATTCCATAGCTATATTTTGGGAACCAAACAAATAGATTTTAATTCTTTAACGGCTTTCATTTTAATGTTTACCAATCAAACAGTTGGTCAAACCTAACAACATTTCATTTTAATTATTTCAAAATCAAATTTTTTAACATAGTTTATCTCATTTTAAAACATTTTATGAACCAAAGACACCTTATAAGCTATCTTGAACTCTTCTTTAAAATAGAGCATAAAACATGAGACAAAAAAATCTCTAAACTTAAAAGTAAAAAAAACAATATAGTTGAAGATGTTTTTATATAATCACTTAGTTAGAAGATACTCAAATGTTTCGATAACCTTGTATTAGAAAGATAATTATCAATTTATTTTCTCAAAATTTCAAGTAAATTGTAATTTTTTGTTGATTTAAACATTATAATAACTAATTTAATAAAATAAAATGATACAGTAAACAAGGAAATTTGGTGGATAAAAATAAAATAAAAATGATTGATGGGATTTAGGTAGCGTAGACGATGAAGTATAAAACGTCGCGCTCCATTGCAAGTGATGTCAGTGGCTTCCAGTCAAAGTCAAACATACATTTTAAATGTCAGAAGCTACTTCTTTTTTACACTTTAAATGCAAAAAGATATGCATAACACTTTTCCATTATGCTTCCATTCTTTTTCTTTAACTACATCATTTATGTTATATATATATATATATATATAGGG